AGTGTGCCATCGAGACCTACGCCTTGAATTAAATTTTAACTGTAGCCCACTTTATACTTTTAAAAGTAATGCGTGATAAGTCGAAAGCAACAGCAAAACATCGAAAGCAAACATCAAAGCAACAGCACACCTAAAAACCCACAGAGAAACTGAATGAATCAATGGATCCTTTCCCACGAAACCAACATTCGAGCCACCATGCGGGGGCAGCCAGCCGCCATTCCTCCGCCCGCCAGAACTCCAGTGGGTGGGTGGTGGGTGGGCGGGATCGATCCGCCCTCAAAGTGTCCCGGCCCCGGCGGTCGGTCGAGGGCCGACGGCCGGTTCGGTCACCTCCAAACATTGATCAGAGAGCTCTGCGCGCCGCCCGGCGGAGGATCGCCCCGGACGAACTCAAAGATGTGCCTTCAGAGAGGAGAGCTCGTCCCGAGGTTTGGTCAGGGGTTAAAAAAGTGGTAGCGAAGAAGAATTCGGTTAAGAAATGAGGAATTTTAGGGGTTGGAAATGTATTCATGATTTTCTTTTTAATGGCTGGTTTCAAAACAAGTACAGCACGTATACCTATACCTACAGCGTAACTAAAATAAATTAAAATCATTTTGAAAATAAGCCAGAAGTAAGCGAAATAGTACCGATCCATCCGAGAAATATACGAGGAACGGCAGCTCCAAAACAAGAATCTCCAATTCATCTTTTCTCATTTCCCTTCCACAACAACGATCATCTTAAAATGAGTACTTCTCCCAGCACAGCCGCATAAAACACCTGTTTTCCACCTGTTTTCCCGCGAAGTCTCATATCCGCTTATTTCAATCCTCACTACGCCTAAGCCTTTTCTTTCCGCATACGCACCACGCACCATGTTTACATCAGCAGACACTAAAGGTGATCTGGGCACGTCGAGAGCACGCCGAGAACGACGAAAGCACGCCGCCAAGGGCGTAGCGAGGGCACGGCCTGCACGCCAGAGCATCGACCAAGGAACGCTGCCAACCAGGAAGCGTTCGTCTTCCCAAAGCCCCCCCCCCAAAGACGTGAAGGTTGTACACTACACACGTCACACATACTGACATACGCACACAAACGTACGCAGAACCTGCCAGGTTTTACGAACTCGGACACGCGTGTAGCGTACTTCCCAGAAATGTCATAGGAATTGTCACAACTGCTTAGCCGTAATCGATCGCCTCTTCAGAAAGCCAGACGGAACGAGCAGTAATAGTGCAGAAGCTCTCAGAAATGTCAGTACCTACCTAACAGAAGTCCGGAATGAGGCAATGGCAAACAACATGTTACTTTTCCGACAGAGCTGTCGCGCGGGAAAAAGTAATGTAATATGTAGCATTGTAGCGTAACGTGCTCTGGTATTTCAGTTGGGCAAACTAGACCTTTGGAATCAAAATATAGAGGCATCAAAAGATTGATTCCTTTTGGGCATAAATGCAGACCATTTCTAACTTACCAATCACATAAAAATAAGAGAGTGTTTCAAGAAGGAGCATGCCTGATCTTGAACAGAAATGCTTGAACTATCTCCTAAGCAAAATAATATTGCTCCTATCATAACAATTTGAATTATATAGGTAGTGAAAGGCAATCAGGGAATTGATTCACTTTAAACAGATAATCATAATATTGATTCGCCATCAGCTGGCTAATCATTATTTTGATTCACAGGTAATGTTAACAGATAGGCAACAATGACTTGCAAGAATACAGCATTTATCTTGCTATTATTCTCATTTAGTGGTATCGTCAGCACCACAACTGATACCTATAGCATTGTTGTACTTTACCTTCACTACATTTGATAACAATTCACAATTTTTAAATGTCAAGAATGCAAAAACTGAAGCAACAGGTAAAAACCATATAAATAATATAAAAGCACTACAACAATGATAATTAGGGGTTTAAAAATTTCATTTTGCCATTTTACACAAATACTGATTGGTTAGTATGTGATTCATGATACAAAAATAACATACAGTGTGATTTCCTCAAAACAGCTTTTACGTGGTGGACAGTGGCTCTGTCTTTTTCCCATTCACAAGGCCAAAGGGACAATTTCTTAGCTTTGAGGTAACACTTTTTGCAAACCTACCACATTTTTCTACCTTTTAGAAGAAAAATCTCACCGTCATGGGCCTTTTTTCAACCGTAACGATTCATTTGAAGTCAAAAGCGTACCCAAATGAATCAAAAAATTGATTCCATGCCCATATTTGGTCATGGCTCCTCCCACCAGAATCAAATTATTGATGCCTCCATATTTTGATTCCAAAAGTCTAGTTTGCCCAACTGATTTAGCGTGATACTGATACCGAGTGCGTAACACGTACTTTACGCAGTTATGTCGCTTGTAGCATGAACTACAAAAGTATGTGTATTTGTGTATTGATTATGAGATACCCGCCTGTTTCTAGTGAATATTAGAGCGCAAGTTGACAGAGTCTATCAGACACGTGTTTCTTACGACGTAGTACGGCATAATCGCGACGATATCATGCTTCGTCAAAACACCAACAACGCAAGATCATGAACTTCGTCCCGTCCTTGATGTAGAATCAATCCTCTTATCGAGTGTACTGGTCATACCATCGTGGCGCCACGCCAAAGAGGTCACGCATCTACGCAGCAGCACGCACACACGCACGCACACTCGCCAATAATTTAGCGCAGCCGGCCACGCCCGTAGCCTAGGCCAACGTCCTGTCATGACGGGCCGCTTTACTGCGCAGAACCCCCGCCGGCGTGGGTGGGGGTGTAGGGGGGACGGAGAGGGGGGGGGGGTGGGGGGCGGTGGCAGCAGCGACACATGGGTATCGATTTGTAATGCCACATCGCCCACGGTGGACAGAACGAAATGTCGGACGTTTGCAATGAAATAAAAGAGAAAGTCTTTGAAACTGAAAGGCTGCTAGTTTTCAGAACGACCTTGATCATCTTTGTAATGTTAAAGGTGATTTAATGGATGAAATGTGAAAAGTTGTCGTGGTCCTTCGCTGAACCCCGATATAAAGCCAATTTAACGCCAAACTCTTGCTGTAAATTAACTTTGACAAGGAGCCGCTATAAATTCTGAACCTAAATTACAATCATGACACCGATTTGTCAAAGCAAGCCATTAACTAACGCAGACGAATGTCGCTGCCGTCCAAGGACATTTAAAACGACCCAAAAACCAGCCGCTGACGCCACAATTCAAACTTCAGTTCATAAAACACCAACTCTGGTCTGTAATATTCCCAAATCAGCATATCCAATTTTTAGGTCGATCGGGCTGTATTACAGACAGGTCATGACCCTCATGGCCATATCATATTGGCGTCAGCGATTACGGTGGTGGCAATGCCCTGACCTGTTTGATTTGTCTGGCAAAGGCCAGTGACCTGACCCGGGCGCTGACCTCAGATGTTTGCTTACTGCGCTCAGGTCATGCTCCGTAGACAAAAGAACACCCAAGCAAAATTTTACAATGGGTCCTATTGAGTTCAAACCAAATGTCACGAGACGACAGAAAGCATTTAGCGTGGGAAAATCGTGGCGCTACCACTACTTTTTATCCAAGATATTATTATTAGCGCTCGATTACACCACATCCCTTCCAAACACTATAATACTGTTCTAGACATGTGCCAAAAGCGAGCAGGATTTTACACACGCCAGTCTGGGTACACCGGACTGACTCATCGATCCATATCGAGACACACGCGTGGCTGTGTAACGTGTAACGCCTGTGCGTGCAGGTGCGGCGGTGGCATGAGTACTGCGTAGCTCGCAGTGTCTGTGACCCCGTGCGACCAAAACGGTCGAAAGGGGAAGTGTGATGGTGCGGGGATCTCGGGTTTTAGGCGGGACAACCACGCTTGACAGGGCATCTCCCTAATAGAGACTTGAGCATATATAGAATAGTGGAATGATCAATGATCATACTCGTATATGATCACCAAGTGAAGCGTTGATTTTATGAATTGACTTCGTCTTTCAATGGGAATCCCGTCGACGATCTTGATAAATAAATAAATAAAAATAAGTAAACAAATAAGTAGCATCCCTTCCCATGGCTTCTGTTCTATTGAATTTTATAAGTTATTTCTCTCTCCTCTCGGCTCTCCCATCTATTTCCTCCATTCGTCATTAGCGGCACGCGACGTGGAGGCGGAAGCGTCCCGTGTAGGGAGAGAGTGTGGGAGCGGATGGAGAGAGGGGCGGAGCGCCGGCTGGCACCGTACGCTCAAGGTGACCCCGTCGCGCGGGCCGCCCGACCGGGCCCACACAGGGAGGGGAGGGGGAGGGGCGGGGCGGCGCCGAGTACACCTGCACTCGGCCACAACACACCAAACACGTGGCGTGTGCGCAGGGGCGGCACCAGCGGAAACGTCTCGGGAGGGGGCAAATAATCAGCTCGTCCTTAGTGAGGATTTTACGAATGACACGGGTTCAACAAATGTTTAAAAAAATGTACCCGTGAGACCGTTACGTATCGTAAGGTCCATCCATGGTGAAACATTGCTAGAGCGGTAATAAGCGGAAAGGATTCTGCGCTACCACTTGTCATCACAAATGCCTGTGGCTAACGCCACTGTCCTGTCTGCGATGTCACACGGCGGGGGGGTCACCCCGACGGAGGAATGCACAGCACACCGTCTCAGGGAAAACCCAAACTAGACAGCAGACATCAACAGATCACAGAGGACAAAACGGCAAAAAAAAAAAAACAGGTCACGTACAAGCACACCGGTCACAACACATTTCATTCCACATTCCAAGAAGAAGGCACGAAACAACGGATATATCCGAGTTCATCTTGCAACCGCGAATGAACCGTGAATGTGACATGCAATTTTCCCGTATCGGAAGAGGACATAAGAAAAAAAAACACAAGAGACAAGACACATGTATTACCATACTAACCACCAATCAAGTGTTCCTATATCCTTCCCACCTCAACCCTTCCCAAACAAGCCAACCAGCATCCCCATGACCCAGCCACCTACCTTGACGACGTGTGATGCGTCCGACCCAGACTCTCAAAGCTAGCCGCGCGACCCTCGGCAAAGCGTTCCCCCTCTAGCCTCTTGCAAGGTGGCTCTTCATTACGATCGCCAGCCTCTCGCCGGGGGTCGACAATACCACCGGCGTGTACTGAGCCCAGCAGGTGAGAGGTTACAGCAGACTGGATTGATTTGTCGACACGTCTGAAATGAACAGAGAAGATCATGGTTAGATGAGAGGGCCGAATGAATTCCGAATGAATGGATTGACTTGGTTACAGCGAACGGACATAGCGCCTTTTCATTGCTATGGGTAATGTGTGTGGCTGCGGACAGGACAGCCGGTAAACAATGAAAAAAGCTGCCTGTTCAGTAAAATGTGTGCCCTGGCCCTGAGTGAAAGACCAGATTCTCATATTCGAGATTTTCTGTTAATCTAATCCGATAGTCATCGTAGACTAAATTGATTCCAAAGCGCACTAATGCATTAGTGAAATTACTTAGCGCCTTGTCCCGCTAATTGTGACTAGTCTGGGTTTAATCATACTAACCCGACCCATTGATTGCATTAATTACGAAAGTCTGCCTCGAAATCATTTTGATGGGGCTCATTCCTGTAGCTAATGAGCGGTTTTGGCGACCTAAGCCCATAACCAAGTGATACGGTCCACAATTATACCGCCTACTAACAACGTGGTCTCGAAAGCAGCACGCAACACTCACGGAACTAAAAAGAAAGTTGTGGTTTTTAATGATTTTGATGTATGGAACAAGACTTTCAACGAATCCTTATCATGTCAACAAGAATGACGAATAGGGATTGCTTTAGAAAAAAACATAAATCTCTAAATAGAAAATGTACATAAATCTCCAAGCCAAGGTAAGCGACTCATTTGAGCTCTCACTCTCATTCTCTCTCACTCATTTGACTCATCTCACATAAGCATTCATTCATCCGAGAGGGTCATTCACCCCATGCACCCTGCGTACCCAGCGCTCAATCCGTCTAAATGGATCCCATGGGCCCCTTTACTCATGTCTACATCCGATTGCTTAAGGTTGGCTCGGCTCTGGCGCAGCGCCTAATAGCTGATGCTCATGTCTTGTAGTCTCAGAATTACCGTCGTTTAACGCGCTTATCGCCCCCAAAATAGACACCTAATCCGCCTCCAGTAGTCCCCAGATGCACCGAGTGCAGTTCAGTAAGAGCAGCCTCCGACGGCATCACCCATACATTCAGTGACCCGACCCATACAGCTAACACGATTACTCGGAAGGTCATGACCTTTCGAGGTACCCGAACGCCCCGGGCTAGAGCGGGGTCAATCGACCTAGCCCGGGGCGATCGAACTTGGCCGGGAGGTCGTGCAAACAACGGGGGCGATCTGGGTCACATGTATCACCTGAACGGAGACAAAACAGTGAGATTAGCGAAGAGGGAGAGGACAGCTTATCGTGAACGGAAGTCGGCATTATTTAGCAGGTGCATTGTGCGTGTTTGTTGATAACAGATTCCTGAGAAAACTTGGTTTATCAATCTTTTGATGGATTTCTACAAAGGTTTTGTCAATAGACAGATTCTCTTCATAGAGAAAGCCCAACTAGTGAAACCAATTTCGGACCAAACTCGTCGCACATGGTAAAAGGTCCACTCCATGAACCCAAATAGGATCTCGAAGTCCTTCAACTCCTCTGCCAAGATAGCGCGAGTCCAACTCGGTCAGTGGAAGATTACAATAACCTCATCCGCAGCCACGCAGGGCCTATTATCCGTCTGCGCGGCGTCCACAGTCAGACCCAGCCCCGTTACCGGTCACTGACTTGCAATACCGTCTTTCTCAATGGGGCAGCCGCATTCCTTGGCGCCTACTTTCATCTTCAACGATCAGGGTCGTTCCTGCGTACTTTTCCAGGGGCTCGCGCTGGGGAATGGAAAAGTACCGCTTGGACGCACGCCTTCCATGACCGCGCGGCAGCGGTGCTGGCGGCCGCTCCAACGCTCAGTATCGATCCGACAACTCCACGGTGGCTGGCGGACAGACAGTGACAGCCGCCGCCGCTTTTGAAACGCCCACGGGGTCCGGCAGGACGCCAGGAGCCGCAACTTATCACCGGACAGTTCTAGACAGAGCTCCAACAACAACACATCGCAAATCTCTCCATCTGGGGCATCGAGGAGCCGCGACCCTCACAATTACCGGGGTTACATGAGCAAGTAAATGCGTATCAGGAACGGATTTTCCTATTCGCTCACCATTGTAGTCCGTTTGTAATGCGTATTAACTCTGCTCATGTAACCCCGAGCAATAACGGAACGCCAGTGCATGGCCAGACGGTCGTTAGACGTTAGGCTTAGACCTTGGCCTCGAATTCCACAGAGGCCCGTAGTTGATTGACGGCGGATGAGCAGTAGCCAGTTCCTACACCCCCACAACGGTGGCAGCCAAAGGCATCGTTTGAGGCTCTAGTACCCCCACCCCAACCCTCGGCACCCCTCTTCAAGGCCGACTCGTTTAGACGATGGCCCTGGGCACTCGGCGAAGCATTGTGGGCGACCTTGGCGATCAAGGTCGGTCCAAATAGCAGGCGAGTTTGGCTGGAGCAGCCCCGCAGCTGCAGCTGCAGGGCCTTGGAAAGGGGAGCGCGGAGGCACTCTCGTCCGAGTTATTGCTGGAAGGAAAGATATTGCCAGGTTGCATGGCAGTGCTTCGCACATGGACTCACCATGCTCACTGCCTGGCATCCACATAGTCCCGTGCTAGTAGTAACATTATGGTGCATTGACACGAAGAATAAGATGTATATCGACTTAGCGCAGCGAACTGCACCAATGGCGTTGTCAAAAGTAGGTGCCTAGTTTCCACCGAAGCAGCGAATAAGATTACACCCGCAGCCACAGCCCCGTGGTTTTCAACGGGAACTGCCAGCAGCTGCGAGGCAAAATAGAGACATGCATAAAAGAATGCCGACTGGCGACCACGTTGAAATCACAACCGCAATGGGATACAGGAAACGGACCGGTAAACCCCACGAAAGATGTCTATGGCGGTGATAAGTTATCGGGTAGAGGCATGAAGGGCACAAAAATTACGAACGCGTCAAACGATATGCGATTCAGGAGCAGCAAATGCTGGTGCTTGGAGCATCAAATACTTAAAACCTAGCGTCAGTGATTTTAAAAGAAAATCGCGGCATTTACACAATTCATTATGAAACAACACTCCCTTATAGCATCAATTTCCACATAAAAATGCTCCGAAACTCATAAATATTCAATATAACGAAACAGCAATGCGTTTCATCCTCTAAATCTCAAAGGCATTAGGAACAAGTTCCCAAGTGCAGACTATTTGATCACGTACCTACATCAGTTCTCAAGTAAAGCGATAAGCCTTTCTTGGAACCGCCTGGATACATTTCCCATGTGAACCAGAACTCATTGGCTTCCAAAGGCCAGTAAACCCTGGTGCACTGGGTCTCCAAAGCCAGGCAGGTGTCCCGGGCTCGAGCGGCCAGGGAATGGGCAGTGGGCACCGTCGCGTTGCAGCAGCGCGCAGCAGAGTGCAAAGGTCACGGAAAGTTCAGGGGCTGAGGCCAGCCAGCCAGGTAGGGTGACCTTAGACAGGTACGGCAGTGATGTTACAAGGTCGCACTTGAACTGCACAGTGCACATTGACCAGAACCTAGCAAAAAAATATTATTTTCAATCAAAGATTCTTTATCATCATTGGACATTGTTCGGCTTTGTGAAAGAACAATGCTAAATGGCATCAGCCTTGACATATAACTAGATTTATCCCATTTCGATTTACCACGAATATTTGAAATTCATTTGAAAAGGAGCGCTGCAATACTTGGAATTGTTGCAAGCTATGCTAATTAGATCACATTGAACATATGCAGATTGCAGGCAGATCTTGTCCAGCCCGCATTTACACCTGCCACAACACAACACGGAAGTAAAATGTGCAGCTGCCATGTCAAACAGCCGCTGGTGTTGCCAGGAGGTAGTGATGGACACAAAGACATCGCGATGCACATGCATAATAAATCGGATCTGGGGCGTTCCAATGCAACATTATTGGGGATTTGGTCCAGCCGATGCAACTTAGAACACCCCTGTCCGGGTACCGGGGACACAGAAGATGACCGAATGACCCCCAGACATGGATGAATGACTATACAAGTTGGTCAACTCGTCAGAAAAAAAAAATACTGACAAACAGGAATGCCATCAGCCAGTGGAAAACGAGGAACTATGCAACCACACAGCATCCCTTCATTGGATCAATCATACCGTAATAGGAGGTGTACCAAAAAACGATATCGGTCTTCTAACGGCGGTTTCTATGACAGAAATAGAAACACTTACAGGTAATGAATGATAGAACAAGGAAGACGGATATTCTGCATATAGTTTCTCCCCTTGCCTTCTAGTTGAGCAAACATTCCAAGGAAGCAAAAATGGCCAAGAAATCACTGCAATCTTATCACCTGGCAAAAGTACTATACGGGTGGCGGTAAATAAGACGTTACATCACTGCAACAGTGCAACATGACTGAGGCCGTAGCGCAACGAAATGATGCGCATCGATTGACAAGCTTTGTGGGAACGAAGTTCAGGCCGTTTTGCGGCAGGTGATTCATCTTTTGCGCAGCAGACCACGGACAACAGATACGTGTGTTGATGAGGTCGCTACAAGCATGCAATCATGCTGTTACGTGGACTAAAGCTGCATCAAAGCGATGTTTCGTAACAGTTACAGATCAAAGTGCTTCTTGATAAAACATACTTGTGTATTTCTTGGATGACTTTGGAAATAAGTTCATACATCTTTCATTACGGTGGCTCTGCCCTTGTGAAGTCTTTCGTGCAAAAGATTGAGACTAAATGTATTTTGAAAAACCTGACTAAAGGCAGCATGATAATAAACTGTCAAGATTTCTATATATGTCTTTGACTATCAATTGGCGCTCACAGTAAAATTTCCTATTTTTGGATGTCACATTTCCATCCTAGCTAAGCCGGTTCCCCCTATCCTCGATATATGATTACAAAACTACTCAGGACGGAGATGTTCTGGGGTTTGTGGGAGCATCCGCGACCACTTGCGGTTCGTTGAGTGGGACGGGCCGTATCCGGCACTTTGAGCACGCAAACTTTACTTTGTTAAGTCTCTCAGTGACCTGGGATTTCCGCATCCGACGAGAGAGGTCAAGGCTGACGCAACAAGTTCGGCTGAACTAGGCCTCAAACTTTGTAAATCTGCCCATCCAAACTGGTGAAGCGAAGCTTTATTAAGACCAGCTTTAAATATTGAACATTTTAGTATACAGTTTCTGAAACAAACTAATCTCAAAAGTAAAATTTAACCACATTGGATGAAAATAACAAATACATCAAGAAAAAAAATAGTAAAATAAAATATTAATCTTATTAATTACAGATAAAACAAAACGGAAAGATAACGCGACATCATCATTCTCTGCCAGCGCTCTAAGCCGAGCTCTAGCCAGGACGGCAGGTCACCCCCTCCCCTCCCCTCTCCCCAAGGACGTTCCGTGGGCAGCGGGACACTGTGCACTGGGTCACCCAAGGTGCGTCCCCCTCCCCTCCCTCCCTCTCCCTCCAGTTGCATCAGCCTGCCTCTGGCCAGCCAAAAACGCGTCTCCGTCGCATTATTATCCTGGGCGAACGGGGGGGGGGGGGGGGCTGCGTAGCTGATATTGATAGCGACGAAGGCCGAAGGTAAAAAAAAAAAGATTGTATCGTGGAAACTTTGGACCGGTGAGTTTAGAGTCTCCGGTTGAGGTTACGGTTCGTTTAGTTCATCGCTTCGGCAGCCATAGCGCAAAAAGCAAGCGGCACATGCAGGATTCTGACGATGCAATACATTGATGTAGGGCGATCCAGGGTTGTATACGACTCAATCAATAGCAATCAATTCAATCACGACAAATCTGGGAAACCAATCAAATCAATCAAGTCAGAGCAGTTTTCGGGAATTGATTCAATCGACTCAAACGCGACAATGAAAGGAATCAATCAACTCAATCAAACGACTCAAACCAAGACATACATTAGGTTTTTTGCCCCACCAACTTGGAAAAGTGTCCATAGCAGTCGGGTGTACCTACCTACCTACCTACCTACCTACAGAAGAAACATTAAAATATTGTCATTTAAAATTATAAATTGCCATGCCATTCAAAGTTTCTATGTAATAAGGAAGGATACCTAGTGATCGACAGGTGGATCATGATATTGAGGTTCAATGGGTAGAATTGGAGCAGAAGTTTCATTTAATGGGTGCAAAATAACCCAGTAGTTGACTCGCCCCTTAACCCAAATCACCACCTTTCACCTAAAAGTTGTCAATTTAATTTTGGCCATATTCCAACTCAATTTACACTAAATATCAGATATTGCAGTTGAAAGTTGGCTGCTCGGATTTTGGCAGTGTTCGTGATTTGGCCATTTACCCTACACCATGTTTATTTTAATGGATAACATGCATCAATAACATATTAACCATAGGGAAATAGAAATAAATATCTTACCTGCATTGTGCATGTGACGGTTTCGGTTAGACAGAGACTGACGGGCAGCCTGAAAAATCTTTCCACCCAATGTGCATTTGAGACGTGGGATGTTGTCAGATTGGGAAGGAAGAGATTTGAAGTATTTAGCTGTCCACGACTCTGGACGTGGCATGTCAATGTTAGGCACCTATGTGAGGAATTCAAAACATTTCATTGCAATACAATTTGAAACTATTAGGACTGGGGGATAGGGATGAGGATTTAAAATATATTTAAAAGGAAATGGAGAGGACAGGGACTCTGGAACCACAGGATAAGTTAAGGACAAAGGAAGTAGGAACATAATGAAAACGTTTTGCCAATAAGTAATAAGTATGCTAAGCTTTTATAAATCCTTATTCTACGTCTTCTGATATTTTGGTAAGATGACGTCATTGATTATCATGTAGTATGGTAGATCATCATAAAATAAATCGGTTGTTCAACACCAAATTCGTTTTCATTATTATTTCATTTGATATAAAACCACTTAATAATATTCGGTAAAATATTTTAAGGAAAATGAAATATATTAAAAATGTTATGCTTAGGCTCTCAGGAGAAAATGATCAACAAACGTTCTGCTGCAAATTAAACAATGCAGCAAATTAGCTATTAATTAGGCACGTAAACGTAATTAGCGAGACGAAAACGGCGCTTTTGTTTCAGTTATTTTTGTAGGGGTTTCATATATTTATAGAGTTTAGTGGGTTGTTTCTGAGGAGATGTGGACTGTGGAGATGTGAATTATTAATTAATCACACTTTATTAGTATATAGGGCCTTGCACTTTATCATCTGGATTAAAAAAAAAAAACGTTTCCTGTTGAGTGCAGAAAGGTAGGTAGGTGCATCGCCAGGTTCTATCACCAGGATTGGTGCAGTTATTGCAGTTGAAAGTCAAAGTCGGCTGTTCATGTTTAGGCCCTGTTCTTTATTTGGCCATCTACCCCATATTGCACTTGTGATGACAAGCAGTTTTCAGTGTAGTTTTGTGATCTTTGATGTCATCAATTGGTGTCATTATTTTTCGTCAACTAAAACTTATTTGAACTTTCCATTCAATCGACTCAATCATACGAGTCACTCTAATTTTCGGGAATCAAATCAGTCAACCAGTCGCTAAAGTCAAACGAGTCAGTCAACCAGTCATCTCGAAAAGTCAATCGACACAATCCAATCAACTCAAAATACGCGTTGAAACAAATCAATCAATTCAATCGGCTTGATTGGTATACAACCCTGGGGCGATCTCTGCAATAGTCCTATCAAGTAAATAACAGACAAGTCTTCCGCATCAACAATGGCACATCGAGGCAAACAAACATCCATCAAAGTGGCCCCTTAGAACAACCCGCTCCTTGTCTTCAAACCAGGACAAGGGACTGAGACAATGTCAAGGACAGTAACAGAAAACGTCTGCAGCAAGTTTCCACAAAAACCACGCTGCAAGCTACAAGGTCACCGAAACCTTCACTGAAACGAAAAACTTGTCATCGCAGTCGCCCCTCAGCTTAGAGGATGAAAAAATGATGCAGCAGGTTATGATACTGATGCAAGTCCGCTGCCAGCATGATGCAACATCACACTTTAATCTGTGCTCATTCTGGTCACTCATACAAAAAGCATGAGTCTAGTTGAATGACAAATCACATCAGTCTGTTCCAAATATTTCATCATCTTCACACGTGTGGATAAAAACGCCAGGCGAAAGAGGTCGCCAGCCGCTCTGCCGCTTCCTCAGCGCAGCACGTAACCCAAGGCTGGGCTCAGGCGTGACAGCAGTAGCGGGGATGGGGAGGGGGAGGGGGCAGACAGGGGCGGGCACGAGAACTATTTCAGCTGTCGCTTCCCGAGGTCGCTGGTTTCGCAGAAAACCGGATCGGAACCTGCTTACAACCTGTTTTGAACCCTTGTTATTCTCTGCACGAGCTGGGTGACGAAACAGGTAGGCACGGCTGAGACGGATAAAATATCAGACTGACCTGTTTGTAGGGCTTGCACGTGGTTATTTTGCATGCCTATACGTGGCTCGTGGGTTGAAAATCCCTATGGCTATTTCTACGCAATATACCCACACATATCTTATACCGTCTTGGCAAAAGAAATGCTAGTAAACACCAGCGAACGTCCGAATGCCGTGGCCAAAAAGTTCTGCCAAAGAACAACAAACTGAACCTCCTGGATCCATTCATAAGGGACACAACCAAACGTTTTAGGCCAAACAATTCCCTTCTTTCAAAGCACTGCCACAAACATTTCATTTCAACCTCAACCTCCCGAGCCAGCCCATCACCTCTCCATTCCCACTCCCTAAATCCGCCACTGATCCACCACTCCTCTTACCTTTCCAGCACATACGGGACCGTCTCGTCGACGAACAGCATATCAAACGACAGGCTGGGTCCGAGATCGAGCTGCTCCAGAGCCTGCTCCAGGCCCTGGGGGTCGAGGACGCCCTCCATTTCGGCAGTCAGTGCAGACTGCTGCCGGCCACAGATTGGGCACATGTCCGTGCCGCCCCTCAGCGACCTCAGAGAGCTCTGCGCGACCTCAGAGACCTCAGGGAGTTGCGACCACGGCTTCGGGGGCTCTCTCACGGGGCTGAGATGTCTTTTCTACAGCCACACAGTCACAAGTTTGATCAGCAAGGTCTATCGATGCCTTCAAGGATCACCGATATGGAGTCTCACAACACTCTTCACTCCTCGGTCTCACAAAGCACTGTCCAACACTTCAGTAGTCCTCTCAAACCTTCTTCCTCCGAAATCTTCAGACCGTCTTGGGTATACGTCCGTCCCCAATACTCTCACTATCCAACTGGCACAAGCCACGCGGCCGGGCAGCCTCGACAATCGACGACGCCCCGGTCCGCGCAGCCGCCCTGGTGCTGCCGGCTGATGCAACAGCGCGCGCTGGCCCGGGCTGAACCGACTCGCGAGCCAGCCGCCCAGCCAGCCGCGTGGGGCTCGGGCTCTCAGGGGTGACGGCGCAGTGGGGGGGGGGGGGGGGGGCGTGCGCAGGCGGAGGGCGAAAACACCCCGGGTCTAGCGCGTGCCGGTGAGATATCGACCGGACGGGGAAGGAGGGGGGGGGGGGGGCGTGGGAGAATGATAGTAGTGGGAGGAGTCAGGTGTTTTCAGGGTCGACAAAAATGACACAGTTCCGATGATATCCCGCGCCCCACTGGGGGGGGGGGCTATTTATAGCCCCCCCTCCCGTTTTTCTGCAATAACTTCCAAACCGCTTGACGGATCGACGCCAAACTTACAGTGCCTTCGGCTGCATCAATTTGACACCTTGTGTCAAAATTTGAACTTCGTAGCTACCATAGGTCGACCGGAAATGACGTCAGAGTGACGTCATGTTCGTCTGATTTCGACGCAAAACATTGAACCACGGCAATCGCTCCCAAGAGCTCAGTTTTTAAGCTAGATCCAATTTCTTTGCATGAAAGGACTCAGAATTGACCGCGCTATCAAACTGCTATCTGGAATTTTCAAAATTTTGAAAATTTCGAAAAGCTGATATAATAATATTCAAAATTTGTATTTTTATACTTTTTTCAAAAAGTTTTTGACTTTTCGAAAAAACCGGAATATATGTGACAGAACGCAAGATTATGACTAACTCTAGCAAGTTTTAGCTAAATATCTTCAAAAATGGCCAAGTTATACGCATTATTGCAAAAAATTCACAATTATTAATTTTTCAAATCAATTTTTCAGCACGTATTTGACATCGTACGCCAATATAAATGGCACCATCGTGTTCCTGAGCTCAAACTGCATCCAATAGATACCTTTTTTGTTGAAAAATTTTAACTTCAAAATTTGACCTTTTTTGACCTGAAAGTGACCTGACCTAAGCTAAATTTGACTCAAAATGACCTCGAATGACACAGACGACATCAAATTCGAAATCTATGACCTAAATGGACCATAAAACATGTGTCACGTGACCGACGCATGATAAAATATTTTCGTGACCTGTGATGACCTGACCTTGACCTGAAAATCAAAGTAAAAGCTTGGTACCCTCAGGGTATCTAGAGCATCTGTTTAAGAGTGTGTGTACCAAAAATGAGCCTGATCTGACTTGTAAGACGGCGGCCAGTGCCCAAGATGTGAACAAGCCAAAATGCTAATAATTTTTACTTTGACCTGACCTGTGACGTCATCGGTGACCTCGAGGTCAATGAAATTAAGTTTGGCTCGACAGTTTTTCCGGGGCTATCAGACGCCGTTTGAATTTTGACGATCGGCCCAGTAGTTTCGGAGTTAGGAGGGGGGGCTATGAATAGCCCCCCCCCCCCCCCCAGTAGGGCGTGTTATACACAGACCCCAGTGGGGCGCGGGATATGCTTTACGCAGTAGCGCGGAAGCTGGGGCATAAGTTTCTCCGTCGAGGGGGATAGGGTGGCCTTTTGAAAGACGGTAAAAAAGACGGAAATCAATGATGAAAGACGACTGGTTCAACGATGCTACAAAATCAGAATCCCACACCTTATGTTGGTAACCTGGCCTGTCGATATACGCAGTTGCATCCTATCTCATGTGTCATGGAAGCTCGACACAGCTTCGATAAGGGCAATAATCCTTATACGAACAATCACATGATATCGTCTGAGGTTAATGCTCAAATAACCGTCGGCGATAGTACGTGCAATCTATAAAAAAGCTGATCTGATAGGCAGCCCATCACCGTGTATGATCATGAACAATGAGGCGCAATCAGTTAACCCGCGAGTTGCTGGGGGGGGGGGGGGCGTTAAACGCCCCCACTTTTTTCGCCGGGCCATAGCATAAAAACGGCTTGGCACCTGTAGGGAATTGATTGAAGTGTATTGTGACAAAGTTTCAAACAAATCGGTCGGAAAAATTTTGAGATATCGAGGTTTTAGTGACGTCATGATTTCTGAGTTTTCGACCAAAAACGGCATATGTTCAAAAAATCATATAAAATCACAGAATAGACATACAGACATGCCGTAAATGCCATTAGACTGCCAATGCCATGAACAATCAAATGACTATCTTCGATTATTGATTATCGTTCCGCATTTTCCAAAATCTTGAACTGAATCTTGGCAATTTCTCGTGACTTTTTCACGACCATGATACATACATTTCTTAAATTGAACTTTTTGAGCCAAACACGTACACATATGATAAAATGAATGTCACCATCGTGTTCTACGCCCCAAATTACCCATAAAACATGTGTCACAAGCTGCAAATATCAGTTTTGATTTTCGGGGATATTTGCCTACCCTGTTGACCTGACCTTGACCCTGACCTATGCTTGACTGACCCCTACATGGAGCTGACACTCTTGTAGGCCTTATATGATGGACTGTGCACCGTTTTGACAGAGTTTATGACGAGAAGCGCCCATTGCGAAGTCCTGAAGTCCATGCTACTGAAAGCCCGATTTCGGGTGTTTGACCTGACCTTGACCCGACCTGTGACCTCAAAATTCAACTTTAAAGTACTCATCTGAAGCGTCTCGTCGCGTTCTTTCGTTTGCCGCCTCGTGCGTTTCGCTGCGCCTATTGGTTCTCGAGTTATCGGCTGGGGGCGTTTAACGCCCCCCCCCCCAGCAAACGGTGGGTGGCGAAATACCCCAGCAACTGCCGGGTTAATATTGCATGTTACAATGTTGCCATTTCAGATACCGTAAACCGGGGTGAGTTGATATGGATTTTGAGGTTTTTCTAGATTTCTTTAAAAACCACATTCATTTACGGAATTCTTTTTGTGCCAGTTTCATGGCACATGCCTTGGTGAGGCAATCAGCAAAAATGAATAAAAAATGTATATATTAAGCCCATTTTTTAAAACGCCAAAGTTCATATCAACTCACCACCCCCCAGGGGGTGAGTTGATATGGTTTTGGATTTTTCAAAATTTCTCGGCTAAAGAAGCTCAGAGGTGAGTTGATAAAATGCCAGTGTTAAAAAAAAGATGAGAGAACACATCCTGAAAGAAACGATCAGAAAAATGGTAGTAGTTTGGCAGCAGACCTCACATTCATGAAAACGCAATCATGTCCAACACAGCGCTATCAAAATGGCTTGATTTTAGCAGCATCATTTTTTCGCTTTATGATACTTAGTTTTACTTAGAACATTCTGAACTTGGCTAGTCACGTGTCCTCAAGCCAACGGTATCAAAACTGGCAATATATTTTGGAATTACAAGTGTATTTTCTTGTAGTTAAAACACATTGTCAGTTGCGGGTCAAGGTTGATATGCCTCTGACAGAGATAATAGATTGATTTGAAATGAAAGAATACATATACTTCTGAGCTTTTGTTGACTGGTAGTCAACAAAATATTAATGAATAAAAGGGAAGCGAATCTAATTCGGACTGTATTCTATGAGGTGAAATAACCGACATAAAACAGAATTCGGCATCAAAAGCCAAAATTAACCCTCGCACTTATAGGCGGGCGAACGGACCACCTCGGCTTTTCGCACATAACTCGCCCCAAAAAGCGGCCGATCGCGACGAAACTTTCAGTACCTCTCGAATTTATCAATTTTACACATGTTCTAAAGAATTCATGACCCTGACTCAAATGGTTTTTGACTTGTGACCTGATCCTCGAGACCATGCTTGGCCGGAATCGCGATTTGGCGTAGTCGGCTCACATTATCCGCGCATTTCCAGTCTTTTTGTGATTGTAACGTCCAAACATGTAAATGATGTTGGTCCCACGCAGTATTGTGGGTGTCAACTGTCAAGGTCACCTGAAGGTCAGGTCAGGTCATTGACCTTTGGTGACCTCGGTTCACTTTTTGGAGCTTTACATGTTTCTAGGGTAGTTTTTCGGGCCGATTTCGAATTTAACATGAATTTGATCATTTACGAAGTAGTTTTAGTGCCTTCGTAACATGTTACGACACCGTCAGTGGTAGTTGACACTTGACACTCCCTACATGGATAGCCGGCAGGACACCTACTGGTTGACCTGACCTGACCTGGCCTAAATGTACGAAGACATCTGTGATCAAAACTAACATGACATTCGTGATCAGCAACAGCCAAAAGATAATAAACTCGCTTTACGAACTTCAAATAACCCCCTATTTTCCCGACTTCTGGGTAATTGACCTGGCCTGGAAGGTTAACCAATGACCTAGGACCTTAAAGTTGGTTATCATCAGCTTCCTCGCGTCTCGGGCAACACGCTCATTTTTTTCTGCGAAGCTCTAGCTCCACCAGGGGCCAAACGACGATGGGATTCCAACGGACCCCCCCCCCCCCCATACGTTAAACGCTGGCAAAACACGAATACGGACGAGGGCTAAAACACCAGTCAATTTCTTTATATTGTTTGTTCCATTTCATTTTGTCACTCATTCTCGGTTGGCAACTGCCAAGCAGGAAAACTAATCAGTTTCACGAGATCAGAATTCCCGCGCTGTTAGCCATACAGAAACGACAGTTCTGTCATTTTCGAAACTACGAATAATTATAAATTTTTTTTTAATCTGTATGTATATAGGTGTTCTATAGTGTTCCTTGGTAGCTTGTAGGGAGCCACCTTGAGACTTGACAGGGAGTTGTGCTGTGCCTTTTGCATGTTAGGTATGTCCACAGAAAAAAAAACTTTGGGGTCACTGATGTTAGTTGTCGGACCTTCGTCCCCGTCTTGAGTTGAGATGTTAGTTGCACAACGCTTCGGCCAGTTACTCTCCGGCCGTCGTCACTCGTCAGGTGTTCTTTGACCCTCAGAAGGACCTGGATGTTGGTGGCGTTGCGCCGTACGCGTCAAACAGTTCGAAAGCTCCTGTAGTCAGCGGGAATCGAACTCGGGTTTCCCCGGCGGTGATAGTCCACGGTTCTAACCACTCCACTATCGAGGCAGATTAGACTGTGGCCGGAGAAGTTACTGGCTGAAACGTTGTGAAACTAACATCTCAACTCAAGACGGGGACGAAAG